AAAAAAAAAGCCTGTTTTACCCATTGAACTATAACTTAACAGCCCAAAGACAGACCTTATCTGTGGGCTATTCACACAAGGCTTCCCTCTGCCCTTGCATTTGGTGAAAGGAGCAGGAGTGAAGGACACCAGAAGACAGTGGGAGTGACGTACAGTACTAGATGGGCGGTGATAATAGTGGTTACCAGGATTAAGTCCTTAGCACAGCCAGGCATGGTAGCAGGTGCCTGTAATGCCAGCTACTCAGGAGGCTGAGGCAGGAGAATCGCTTGAACCCAGGAGGCAGAGGTTGTCGTGAGTCGAGATGGTGCCACTGCACTCCAGCCTGGTGACAGAGTGAGACTCTCTCTCAAAAAAAGTAGTAAGTCCTTACCACATGTCAGTGTGATGCTAAGGGCTGGATATAATTATATCCATGCTCTTCACAGTGAGTTTAAGAGAGGTGTTCTAGATGAGAGAGGTGAGAATAGAGATCAAGTTAACTTGCTAAAGGCCACACAACTGCCCTGTTCCCAAAGGGCCAGGGCTAAGCAGCATGGGAAACCCTTTTGGCACCAGCCTCATGACCAGCTTTTAGTAGCTACACAAGGAAGTCATACACCTCCATAGTCTCAATTTGTGTGACCCATTTGCTATTGCCCAATTTGGGTTCCTACCTGACTCTCTAGAGTAGCCTCCAGATGCCTTTATGCACCAAACCTTAGACCCACCTTAGAAGATTTGTTCTGCAAACCCAAAGTGCCTGTCCATGCTGGTCCTGGGCTGGGTGCTGGGGACATGGCATAAGCGACACAGGCCTTGCTCTGGGAGCTCCCCACCCGGGCTGGGAGAGGAGAGGGACAGGTGCATTTAATGTGCCCGGTCTCTGCCTGTATGTAGAGTTGTGAGAGCTTAGAGGAGGGTGCTCTGAGGAGAAAGGGGAGCTTGCCCTTGCTGTCAATCCAGGGATGGTACTTGGGACTCAAATTGCAGTCCCTATTCAAGCAAGATTCCAAACCTATGTAACAGCTACTTTGGCGAGAGCAGCCCGGCCCGGCTCAGGAAGATCTGGTGGGTGTGTAGAGCCGCAGCAGCGAGTGGGAGTGTCCCCGAGCTGGCCTGGCTGACCCCAGAGCCCTGTCACCCTGTTTTCTGTGCCTTCCCTGACCCTGCAGGAACAGCAGCACAATGGACCTGACGCTCTTCGCAGCTGAGGCCATTGCCCTTAACCGCCAGCTATCTCAGCACGAAGAGAATGAGAACGAACTAGCAGAGGAGCCAGAGGCACTGGCCGATGGCCTCTGCTCCATGAAGCTTTCCCCTCCCTGCAAGTCACGCCTGGCCCGGAGGCGGGCCCTGGCCCTGGCAGGCCGTGGTGGAGACGGGAGCCCACCCACAGCACTCTGAAATGCTCCGGTCACGCCTTATAGGCCCTAGGCCTGGCCAGGCATTGTCCCCCTCAAAACCTGTGTGGCTGAAGTCTGCAGAGCAGGCAGCAGGGTCTGCTCTGTGGCTCCATTCAGGCTTTTTCCATCTATAAAGGCCCTGAAGTTCCCACCAACCCCCCATTTCCCCTGGGTCCTGGAGGAAAAAGCTTTTTCCAAAGGGGTTGTCTTTGAAAAGGAAAGCAATCACTTGTCACTTTGCATAATCGCCTGCAGCAGGAACCTCTCTGTGCTGGGCTCCGCCTTCTCACCCGCCTGCAGATCTGGGATCTGGCCTGCTCTCACCGCTGCAGCGACGGCTGGGGCTGCAGCCTGCAGGGAGAAGCGAGAAGCATCAGTTGACAGAGGCTGCCGACACGTGCCTCTTCCCTCTCTGCTCTGTCACCCTCCTCTGGCGGTCCTTCCACCTTCCTCTGTCCTCCGGATGTCCTCTTTGCCCGTCTTCTCCCTTGGCTGAGCAAAGCCATCCCCTCAATTCAGGGAAGGTCCAGGAGCCTTTCTCATTCAGGAAATCAGATCAGTCTTCCAGTCTGCAGCACGGAGAAGCACATAATCTTTCTTTGCCGTGACCAAAATGTGTCCCTCATTTATCATCCCCTTTGTTTGTGATTGCTGCTAAAGTCAGTATTATTTCTTTTTAAAAAAAAAAAGTTTGGTTTTTTTAACCAGGCTGTTCCAGCAAAGATGGGACTTTAAACTCCCACTCCAAGCCCATGGACTTCCCAGAGAGAGTAACGGCTTGCTCTTCTTTCTGGAATGTCCATGCATTTGGGTTTTAATCAGCCGTTCTCTGGTTTTAACTGATTTTAAAACTGTTCCTATGACAAACTTAGAGACAGCGTTGGTGTCTGCTGCTGTGTCCCCAGGTCCTTGTGTGGGTGGCACAGATCTGGGCAGTTAGGTGGAGCTCTGTGCCTGAGGTGAAGCCACACGGGGGGCAAGGGGGGGGTCAGCCTCACTGCCCTGGTTTGAGCGATGCGGTGCCTGCTGCCGGAGCGTGTGAAGGTACAGCCACTCAGATAAGCTGAGCTATTGAGTTACATAGAGAAAATAGATTTGCATGTGTCAGGCAGACGTTTATACACCACCACGGTGCTTTTATACATTGTGCTTGTTTTAATAAAACTTAAATTCTAGCTGTGGCTTATTTGGTGGTCCTTTTTTTACCTGCAGACCTGAGAAGGAGCCTGGCCTTCTAAACTGGGGGTAAGTCCAGCCAGGTGGGGAGAAGGTATCTCTTATCAAGACACCTAAATAAAAACCATATTTGACCCAAAAAACAAGGTGAAGGAGACATTGCTTTTTTTTGTCTAGGTGAGGAAATGAAATTCGTCAAACATTTATCAATTGCTTCTTCTGTGCCAGGACCCAGAAATGAGTAAGAAACAGCCTTTGCTTTTTAGGAGCTCCCCAAGTGGTAGAGGCGGTGTCAGCGACCATGACACAGGAGACTTCAGAATGTGCTTTAATAGATGTCCCCTGCACCCAGCGGCCCACAAGCAGGGAACAAATTTCCCCTCTGTCTAAAGCATTACTAAGCCTTTATCAAGGGTGTATCATGTGCCCAGGACTATGCTCATCCTGCCAGAGTTGACAACAAAGAAAAATGGTGCATCCCATCCACAGCCCTCATGTACATCATGCAAAGGATTTTGGTGTCCATTGTCCCAGGTGATCCTCAGAGCCAGCCAGGAGAGGACTGAGGTGGAAATGACCTTTATAAGTTCCCAAGGAGGTGGCAAGAGGGAGGTCTGAGTGTCTGGGCAGTGGACTGGGTGCTGATGACAGCTGCTTTCCCTGGGGAGGGCAGAGAGGGGAGATGAGATTAGGGGCTTTTCACTTAGGACAAGTAATGGGCCAGGCTCCCAGCAGTCCGACGCCATGATTGCCTCCCTGTTGATGATACATACTGTTTGTTGACAGTCTTCCCTTGACGGTAACCCTGACACCCTCACATCACGTTTTTTTTTTTTTTTTTTTGAGATGGAGTCTTGCTCTGTTGCCCAGGCTGGAATGCAGTGGCACGATCTTGGCTCACTGTCACCTCCGCCTCCCAGGTTCAAGAAATTCTTCTGCCCCAGCCTCCCGAGTAGCTGGGATTACAGGCAACTGTCACTGTGCCTGGCTAATTGTTGTATTTTTAGTAGAGATGAGGTTTCACCATCTTGGCCAGGCTGGTCTTGAACTCCTGACCTTGTCATCCACCCACCTCCGCCTCCCAAAGTGCTGGGATTACAGGCATGAGCCACCATGCCCAGCCCACTTTTTCATCTACCTGGAGTGTTCTTGGTGAGGAAAACAGACCTGCAAAATCTGATCCTTTTGGCCCACAGAATCCCAGCCCCTGGGGACCCAGAACCAGGATGTGAGTTCTGTCCCTGAACTTAACCCAGCCTAGTGGAAGACCCAACAGGAATGTGACTCCAAGGGGGCTTCCTGGGTCAAGCACTCTCCACACCCTGTCCTGCTGCACCTCTCCCAGGCTCTCAAGCTCCGTGCCTTGGCTCAAGCTGTGCCCTCTCCCAGCCCACCTCCCCAGCCTGGCCCGCCTGGCAAGGCCCCTCTCATCCTGCATGGCTCTGCTTAAACACCACAGCTGACCTAGGTTTTGCCAGCATTGTCATGCGCTTACTAAGTAACAAGTACTTTTATTTTTTTATTTCTTATTTTTAGTAACAGTTACTTTCTAAGAAGTTTAGAGGCATTAGCATCTCATTCTCAGCAGTCCTATGAGGTAGATACTATTATTTTATCCCACTTGACATGGAAAATCAAGCAGAGAAAGGAAAAATAGCTTGCCCAGGGCTATACAGCTAGGAATGGTGGAACTGGATTCCCTGCAGGAAGGCTTGGGACCCAGCGCTATGCTGCCTGCATTCAAATCCCAGCTCTGCCACTTACTAGCTCTGGGGCTTCGGCCTGTTACTTAATCTCGAGAGTCAGCTTCTTCAACTATAAATAGGGATGATAGTTCTTACTTCATAGAACTGTTGTGAAAGTTACAAATTAATAATTGCAAAGTATTGAGAGCAGTTCCAGGCTCACACAGGAAGTGCTCCATAAATGTTAGCTATTACAGTTGTAGTTAACCCAGTAGTCCCTATTGATCCAGTTTCACTTAATTCCATAACTTCAGTTACCTGTGCTCAAAATAGGTGAGAACAACACAATAGGATATTTGAGAGACCACATCCATGTAACTTTTATTACAACATATTGTTACAATTGTTCTATTTTGTTCTAATCTGCTACTATGTCTTATTCATTCATTCATTCATTCATTCATTTTGAGACGGAGTTTCACTCTTGTTGCCCAGGCTGGAGTGCCATGGCACGATCGTGGCTCACTGCAATCTCCACCTCCCAGGTTCAAGCGATCCTCCTGTCTCAACTTCCCGAGTAGCTGGAATTATAGGCATGGGCCACCACACCTGGCTAATTTTTGTATTTTTAGTAGAGACGGGGTTTCTTCATATTGGTCAGGCTGGTCTCGAACTGCTGACCTCAGGTGATCTGCCCACCTTGGCCTCCCCAAGTGCTGGGATTACAGGAATGAGCCACCATGCCCAACCTACTATACCTAATTTATAAATTAAACTTTATCACAGGTAAGTATGTATAGGAAAAATCATAGTATATGTAGAGTTTGGTACTGTCCACAGTTTGAGACTTCCACCGGGGGGTCTTAGAACGTGTCCCCTAGGGATAATCAGGGATTCCGGTATTTACTATTGTCTACCAGGGCAGAATCACACAACTCACAGTCCCAGTGCTCAAGACAAGCCCTCCCTGGTCCTTGGCTCCGGGAGCGCTCTGCAGAAGCACTGTGTGCTGTGGAGATACGTCCAGGCCTCTTAAGATAAGCCAGGCCTCTGTCCCTTAATGGGATCCTCCTGTGGACAGGCTGCTCCGCCCTTCCAGAATGCAGTCCCTGGCCCAGAGGGGCAGCTGTGGCACAAGGGGAAGAGCCTGAAGTTGGGAGCGGGGCCCTGGGTTCCAGTCCTGCCTCTGCCACTGTTCACTGGTGACTTTGGAAGTCCTGGCTCTGCTGGGCAGAGGCAGATCCAGCAGATGCACTGAGGAGGCTCTTAGACCATGGAGCCCCTTCCACGCATGGGATCTGCAATGGTGGAAGCCAGCTCCCCAGCTCCAAAGCTCACACGTGGGCAGGGCCCTAGAAGGAGAGAGCTGGTCCCAACCAGTTGGAGCGTCTCAAACCTCAGGCCCCTCTCCTCAAACCCAGGGAGCAGGCCTCAGCCCCAGATCTGGTTCATTTGGACCCTGAGGACTCCTGTCTGAGGGCCTCTGGACACAGGAACCGTCCAGTCTTTGTTCCTCTGTGTGTCTACCTGCCTGGGCTCTGGGGGACCCTCCTCCCTCCTGGCTAACTGCCCCTCCCAGACCCAGCTCCATGAACAGAGGTGCCTTGGTCCCATGCCAGCTGTTCCAGCTGCTTCAGGTCTGGTGGGGGCCAAGGAGCAAGGTCCCCCCCAAGGCTGACACTCTTGTTGCCATGGTAGCAGTTGCCTTGGAAGCTGCTTCCCTGACTTCAGCTTCCAAACGGTCCGAGAAAGCTACCCGTCCCCTGGGGGACTGGTGAATTAATCACACTCTTTTCCAGGGTTCTCACCCCTCAAGGAAAATAAACAGAACCAAACCAAGCTGGGGCCTTTTCGCCCACTCTTCCTCCCCACCCCCATGCCACACTTGGACTTCGTGCTCTGAGAAGGAAGGAGGATGGGCAGACGCTCTCCAGCCCTTGCCTCGGCAGGAGACAAAGAGAAGAAACTTTGTGATGGAATTCAGCAATGTGCCCGTGGCCTTACCACACCTGAGAACTGTGGCCTCCAAGAGGACCCAGGTTCAGCGGGGAGGCTCTGATGCTTGCGAGGGGTGGGGCGTTGGTGGGGTGATGGGGCTCTGATGCCTTGGGCCTCCTTCTCATCATGGCTCACAGAGAGGTTCCTGAACTCATTTACCTATTGCTGTGAGCACATCACTCGAGGACATGCATACATTTTCTTTTTCAGAGATGATATAGCCCAAATTGAGTAAAGAATTGGCAGGCCTCCCTCTCTACATCACAACTATTTCCTTTAATGACGCACTCCTGGTCCTGAGGGAAGAGGCAGGCCTGGACTGATTTTCTTTCCTTTTTTTTCTTGAGACAGGGTTTTACTCCCATTGTCCAGGCTGGATTGCAATGGTGTGATCTCAGCTCACTGCAACCTCTGCCTCAAGTGATCTTTCCACCTTAGCCTCCCAAGTAGCTGGGACTACAAGTATGCACCACTGTGCTCAGCTGATTTTTGTTTTTGTAGAGACAGGGTTTCACCATGTTTCCCAGGCTGGTCTTGAACTCCTGACCTCAAGCAATTCTCCCACCTCAGCCTCTCAAAGTGCTGGAATTTTAATCCCACCATACCTGGCCCCTTGACTGATCTTTGAACACAATGTCTCCCTCTGAAGGTGGGGCTGCCAATTCCTCCCACCTCAACTAAAACAGTGTTGAAATGCAGGGGCAGAGGCCGGGCACGGTGGCTTATGCCTATAATCCCAGCACTTTGGGAGGCCAAGGCGGGCAGATCACGAGGTCAGGAGTTCAAGACCAGACTAACCAACATGGTGAAAGCCCGTCTCTCCTAAAAATACAAAATTAGCTGGGCATGGTGGTGCATGCCTGTAATCCCAGCTACTCAGGAGGCTGAGGCAGGAGAATCGCTTGAACCCAGGAGACAGAGGTTGCAGTGAGCTGAGATCACACCATTGCACTCCAGCCTGGGCAACAAGAGCGAAACTTAGTCTAAAAAAAAAAAAAAAGAAATTCAGGGGCAGAGACAGCCCAGAGTACTTCCTAGTGGGGCAGAATCCTGGGCCCGTAGGTTCCACGACGACTCTGGGGCAATTCCTCTGTTCCCCCATGTCTCGGATTCCCCACCTGTTTTATGAAGAGCTGGGGCAGCCCTGGTCCTGTGATCTCGGAACTGATGAAGCCTTAACGTGCCTCTCCCTTGAGGCCAGAGTGTTTTCTGGGGTCTGAAACAGTGCACAGGCACCTCTACCACCCCCATCCCCATCACCGGATGAGGCCTTGGGCTCAGGGGGGTGGAACAGCTGGCCCGAGCCCCATAGTGCAAGGTGGAAAACACGGCTCCAGAAGCTTCTGCCTTGGTGAGGGTGTGAGAGAGTCGCCCTCAGTCTTAGACTTTGAGAGGAGCCAGGAACACGTTTCATGGACAATTATTTTGGTGGCTCCTTCTAAAACTAAGTCAGTGGAGGATCAATTATGTGTGACAGAGACATGGGCTATGATTTGATGCCTATTAGAGAAATAATCAGATCTCATCCAGGCAGGAGGCACAGTAGATGCTGGCAGCAGGGCTGTGGCTGGGGAATGCCAGTTCCAGGGGCTTCCCCTGTGTGGGGGCCAGGAACACAGTCCAAGGCCCATCTGTGCGCCGCAGTCACCCCTCTCTGCGACTCATCGTGAGCCGCAGCTCCACTTGGTGGCCCTGGGCCTTCTCAGGCCCTCTCCTCCACACACAAGGAATGCCTCTTGTTAGAGACGGCAACTCCCTTGTGTCCACAGCCCTGCTCTTTGATGACTGGAGGTGGTCGTGCAGGTGCTAGTCCTCTCCCCGAACTCCGTCCTCATGCTCAGAAGCCTAGCTCAGGTCCCTCCCAGCCACAGCATTCTGGGGAGCTCACTCCCAGAAGCTGCCCTCCAGGGGTCCTCAGTCTGCAGAGGAGGTAGAACAAGAACAGGGCAGTCATGGAGGCAGGTGGAGGAACAAGAACTTGAGCTGGCGAAGTGAGGCTGCAGATGTGGTCCAGAGAGGGGGCAGCCAAGAGAGGCCAGGGAGGCCAGTGACTGGCAGGGAAGGTGACGGGATTTTGAATAAGATTATGGGACCCTAGGAACTGTGCCCAGGTGCAAGGCCAGGCCGAGGCCATATTCTGGGACTGGGGAGGCCCCAATACATACAGGGCCAAATAACGTAATGAATGATGAAGGCTGGAACTAGGGGCCGGGGCAGGGCTCAGGGCTGGGCTGGGTTGGGTTGGTGACCACTGCCCAGCCTTGGGTCAGGGTATCCTGCAAGTAGCTCAGACAGGCTAAGCACAGGTGCTCAGTTCAGCGGGTGGGAAGGCGTCAACCATGACCCAGTCTCCCACTCGTGGCCTCACCTCCTGGCCTCCCAGTACCCAGCCCCTACCAAATCCTCTTCCCTACCCTACCCCTTAGGTATTTTCCTCCTGCCCCTACCAGCATCACGACTGCTCTTCCCTGTCACTCCCAATCGGGGATGCCCAAGGTGGCTAGAACGGTTAACTCTCCATCCCACTGGCCACTATAGGGGGGTGGGCACCAAGTCCACCTGAGGACAGGGGAATTCCCTGAGATCAAGCATCAGAACAGGCCGTCAGCCCTGCCTGGAGCCCAGAGGTGGACAGGGTGGGGATGGGACCGGCAGGGGCAGACAGCAGTCTTGGAGGGATGCCTCTCCCTGCCCGCTTCCTATCCCAGGCACACACAGTTCCTGTCTCAGAGGCCCCAGGTGTGTCTCCAGGCCAAAGAGCAGAGCACAGCAGAGTGGGTCCTGAGCATGTGACCAGGAGTCTCCTCACATCCCTGGCTTCTGAACGGCATGGAAAGCCACCAGCTCATTCTTCTCCTCAGGAACCCGCAGTGGAACCTGGGCCAACTGTGCGCTGGGCCCCAGGGACCCAGATAGCCACTCACATTGCAAGCTCATGAATAACTCAGCACCTCCCTGCTGCCTCCACCTCTGAGGAGCCCGTGGCCCCTGGACCAACTCCCCCTTCACCCCGCCTCCCATTGCTTTAAATTTTCATAGGCTGAGGCTCACTGACAATGAGTGGCTCTAGGAAGCTGGGGCTAGATGTCCTGGGCAGGGGAGCTGGAACTCTTCTGGGTTGAGGCCGTCAGGGAAGGATCCCATGGAACAGGCCCAGCTCCCTAGAACTCTGGCGGCCAAAGCAGAAATGTAGCCAGGCAGGAGTCCCAAGGGTGGGTTTCTGTTTCAGAGGCCTTTAAGAGAGGAAGAGTAAACTGGGTGACCTGGTACAGATCCCAGGTCAAGGTGGGACCGGAGGTCGCCTAGTGGAGCAGTGGGATAGGACCGCAGATAAATCCCAGGGTTCCCTGCCCAGAATCTTACTGCCCAGAAACTCCCACCCTGAAGTTGGAGCACCAACACGGGACATCCAAGAGCCCAGAAACTTCCAGGACTTTTCTGGAGCCAGACTGCACCGGCTGGAGGCAGTGCCCCAGTGGGCCTGCATGGACATCCCTATCAGCAGCAGAGACTTCCGCTGCCTGCAGCTGGCCTGTGTGGCTCTCGGCCTGGTGGCCGGCAGCATCATCATCGGCATCTCTGTATCCAGGGCTGCAGCTGCCATGGGCGGTGTCTTTATTGGTGCTGCTAGTCTGGGTGAGCAGGGGCTGGGCTGGGATAGGGAGAGGAGATTCTGGAAGGGGAACAGGGGCATGGTCAGGTGAACAAGGAACAGGGAAGGGCTGGGGCAGCGGGAATTGGTTGGGGATAATGGAAGCTAGAGGTGTGAGCAAGGCAGCCATCAGGGGCACAGGAGGGAGAGGAGGAATGCGCTCGGGCTCCATCCAGCCCTGGGGAGGAGACAAGAGGGGAGCTGGCTGTCACACTCCTTTCAGGCTACTCAGCACCTCCCTCCTGCCTCCATCTCTGAGAACCCATGGCCCCTGGACCTCCAGCCCCAAGTTCTAGGCTCTTGGATTTGTGGTGGGATTCATCAGCCTATCTGGGCAGAACAAGGGGTTGATGGCAGCAGGTAAAAGGACAGAGTTCCTGAGGACTCTCCGAGCCAGGACAAGCTCCAGCTCAGAAAAAAGGTTTCCTCTTGTTTCCCTGTTTGCCTCCACAGCAGCGGTGTCCATCTGTGTGGGCCAGGCCCACTGATAGCCCTGCAGTGAGGCTGACTGTCATCCCTCGCCCCACCCCGCCCCACCCCACCCCCAGGCCAAAAGCAGGAGCAGAAGCACCAGGATGGGGGCTTTGGGCACCTACACCTGCAGGTTCTGGCACAGATGCTCGTCAGGGGATGGAGCTGGGGCGGGCAGGGCAGGACTGGCTCTGCTGCTCCTGCTCCCCAGGTCTAGGTGGGGAGGAGCATGCCAAGGATGAGTGCCCAGTCTGGCCCTAGGGGCCCTGGGGAAGGGTGGGGACAGCAAAGAGGTGGTGGTGGTGTCAGCCAGGCTCATTCCAGCAACCTGCTCTTCACCTCCGCACGGCGGAGTCAGGCAGCTGAGCCCGTCCCAGTCTATAGCCCCTTGCCTAGACAGGCACTGCCCCCAACCCAGACGCACACACCCACGGGCTCACATTTACACACTTACAGTCCCAAGCCTGCACACTTGTGCTCCTCCCATGCACCCATATCCACCCTCAGGCTCCCAGCCCACCCACTCACCAGGCCCTCCCCATCACAGAACCCCTGTGTCTCTTCTCAGGGTTCCTCCTCTTGGCCTACCCCTTCCTGAAGGCTCGGTTCAACCTGGAACACATCCTGCCTACCACGGGTGAGGCCTCTCCCTAAGCCCACAGACCCCTCTGCCAGGGACTGTTCCAGACCCTTTGTGTGTTCGTCTGTGACCCACTGTGCGGCTGGGCTGAGCCCATGTGTGAGAACGCTCTAGCTGTCTGTGTTACAGCTGCTGTGTGTGTGTTGTGTAGGTGTTGCCATGACTACAGCGCAGCAGAATCCAGCCTGCTGCCTGCAGCAAAGGTGCCTGAGCCAGCTCAGAGCTGGGAAGTCCATCTCCCTTGAGAGACTTTACAACTCCCCAAAGCCTCCAACATCTCTAAATAACTCCCTCTTCATCTCTGAACCTCCATAAAAAACCCTCTATTTCCCCTAAGACCCCATAGCCTCTGCATAGCTCATCTCCCTCCCCACGTACAGGCTGCCATCTCCACCAAGCCTGTGGGGCTTTACATGTCCCCAGTTCTCCCCGGGACCTCATCTCCCTAAAAGATCTGCCATTTTCTCCTTCAAGGGCCCAGTTCTTCTGCCCCTGCCCAAATCAGCCCAGATCATGTGAGACCTAAAGGAATGCAATGGAGCAAAGACAGCATCAGGGATGGAGACTAGACAGCAAGAAGGACTTCCCTTTCCAACCTATGCTTGGTTTGGGGAATGGCTCGGTAACCAGGGGGTTTGGGGCGGTCTCATCCTGCAGGGAGTCTAAGAATCCATCCCCATCCAGGGCCAGACCACGGGGAAGGAAGATCCAGCACCAATGGCAACAAGGAGGGTAAGTTCCAGAAATTCCCGAGTCCATCTTTCATCTCCCCTGCCTGACTGAGCAGCTCCATGAGGCCCAGGAGCCTTGGGCGGCATGGCAAAGGGGCTTCCCCAGCACAGGGAGCCGGTACTGCTGGGCATCTCCCGCACGTGTGCAGCCAGACCCTTGCTGCTCCGAGCTGAACTCATCTCCTCTTGCTTGTCCTGAGGGCTGCTGTCTGCCCCAGCATGGACACTGAGATGAAGGCACCTCCCTGCCCCTGCCCCTCCTCCTCCCTCCCCTTTTCCTCCCCCAGGTCCCGTGCCTCAGTTTATTTTCCCACTCCCCTCTCCCATCTATCTCCCCCAGGCTCAGAGGAACTCAAAGGGACCCAAGACTGGGGTGCTCAGTGACCCCAGGGCAGAGCTGGGATAGCTGGGGAGAGGAGGGCATCCCAGGAGAGAGTTTCAGCCCAGTTTAAAGCTCATACCCCAAACTGGGCATCTCCTTGTTCCTCCGCCCCACACCTGGAAAATTCCACGGCAGGAGTTTCTTAAAGCTGGATCCAGCAGAGTCTCCACCGCCAGTGGTAGGACGCCTGATACTCAGCAAAAGGCCCATTCCAGACACCGTTCCAAGCGCTGTGCCTGTATTAGTAACTCTTTCAAGTCGCACAACAGCCACATGAGGGCAGCACTACCATTAGTTTCATTTTACATATGGGGCACCTGAGGCACAAGGAGATTGACACACAGCCAGGAAGTGCTGAAGCCGCAGCTCAAGCTGGGCAGTGGGCTCGGGGTTCTGCCTCTACCCCCAGCCCATGCTGCTATCCTCCTGAAAGCCATCCTGACCCCAGTGTCGCTTTAAACTGGGCTGAAACTGTCCCCTGGGATGCTCCCCTCTCCCCATTCTCTCCCGGCTCTGCCCTGGGGTCCCTGAGCACCCTGGCCTTGGGTCCCTTTGAGCTCCTCTGACCCTGAAAACTCCATGGGGACCTGTCCACTGAGGCCGTCCTCGTCCCTGCTCTCTCCCCCAGGAGCCCGCAGCAGCCTGTCCACCGTGAGCAGGACCCTGGAGAAGCTGAAACCGGGGGCCCGAGGGGCTGAGGAATGCTGAGGCAAAGGCTGTGAGGCTGCCCCTGCCCGGCCTTCCCGTCCCACCTGCTGCCCCTATCTGAGTGCCCTCTGGGGGTAGAAGACCCAAACAGGGCATGAGCCAGGCCCTGCATACCCCAGAGCAGCCGGGGACAGCGTGGAATGGGACCTTTTGCACTCGCCTAGCCAAGGCTCTCAGAAATGGATTCCACTGGCGTGGGCTGGGGCCCAGAGCAAAGTGTCACCAGATGCCCCCACAGGGTTCCTTGTTTCAGGCTTCTGCCCCGCCTGTCTTTCTGGACTGCAGCTCAGCTTTGATCCCTGTTCAATCTACTGACTGGTCTCTGGAATTTGGCGTCCAAGACCCTGACTATGATCAGGACGCCCCAGTCCCTTGCTCTAACCTGGCTACAGAAGTGAACCACAGGCTCATAAGAACCACAGACGGGGACTCTCCCTCCCATGGCCTGGCCCTGGGGCTCTAGAGCTCACAAGCCCAATAGAGGGGCTAGACAAGATTCTTTTCCAAATATCAAAACTCCTGGCAGTTCCTCAGGGACAGGCTCTGAGCAGCAGTGAATCAGATGGGGGAGCTTGAGGGGGCTCCTGATCGCTGGAGAAGAGCGGCTCACAAAGGGACAGGCACAAACAACCTGCCCCCTGGGGGTCAGAGGAGGCTACTTCTCAGCTGAGCCCAGCCCTGAGACCCCCGGTGTCTAACTCCACCACTCAAGGCTTTTCGTGATCTGACTTCTCTCTTCCGCCCATTTGCTCACTGCTGCCCGAACAAGCGAAACACATTCCTGTCTCCTGCCCTGCGTTCCCCAGGGCCCTCCCTGCTTCTCTCTGCCTATCAAACTCCCCACCATTAAAGGCCCAGTTCAAAAAATCTACCTACATGCTCTCCTCATTCTCTTCTGCCAGCCTATCTCTTGCCACCCTTCAGGCAGGGTTGAAGTCTTCCTTTTCACAAAACAATTATTAAGCCATCTTAAGTCTTGTGAACGTTGCCCCTGCTCTAGTGCCTCGCACCAGACCAGTAGGTGCTTAATAAATGTCAATGGCTTCAATTTAATGTAAAAACAATTCCCTAGGCTTTCCCTGGGAAGCCAAGTCAAAGTCCCATCTCCCGTGGATAGAGCAAGGTTTGGAGCAAGGAGACCCAGGTGTGGCCACATAGAAAACATTGTTCCTCCCTCCACACCTGCACCCTCCAGGTAGAATTGTTTGACCTCTACAGAGATACCCTCTCCACATGGCCTCTCGCCTGGTTTAGTGAGCAAAAGACAAGCTAGAAATAGTGTCCTTCTAGGATCAGTGGAGATGGCACTTCCTCTTGGAAGCCCCCCTGACTTCACTGTGCTTCCCAGGCCCAGGGTTTCCCTCCATCACAGCCCAATCACTCTGAGTTACCCTGGTCTATTTCCCCTCTTGAGAGTGGGAGCAGAGGGCTAGGCACCCAGAAGGCACCCCAGTGGATGCTGGGAAACCAAAGTCTTCCAAAGCAGCAGAGTCCATCTCAGATGGGAAAGCTGAGGCCCCACTGGAAAAAGGACTCACTGAGTCCCATGGTGAAAAGTCGCAGGGCCAGGCCTACAGCCAGATCTCCCATCTCACCCTATCCAAGGCTCTAGCTTTGCTGTGCTCTGCACAGGCAACAGGGATCAGCTCCCCGACCACAGCATGACAGACCTCCATGAAGGAACTGCCTTCCATAAATGCTGGCCAGGTGTAGAGACTTCGGTTCCCTCCGCTGTAAGAAGCAACTTCCTCTCCTTGAATTTCCCTCCTCTCCACCTGCTCCTGAATATTCTCTGCCCCTTCTCCTTTCCTTCATCATCATCATCAACAATAACTCAGGCTCCTGGTCTCTCCTCAATCAATGAGGAAACTCTTTCTCCTATCTGCCTTCGATCCTCACCTCAGTGCCCCAGAGATGTCCAGGGTGGAGGGGGTGGGAGTGGGTGCTGCGGAGCCTGAGCTGCGGGAAGGGTGGTTCCCTACACCCTGCCCATCAACCCCTCTCAGCCACACTCTCCCCAGGGTGGGGCTGCAGAATCCCTGATGCTTGGACAGGCCAGGCACAGAGAGGTGCTGGGGACCAGGTGAAATAAATCAAGGAATAAAAACATACAACGGCAAGACCTACGTCCACTGGGGAAGAACTGGGTGTGGCATCAAAGGACCCTTAAACTGGGTGGAAATTCTTGAGCCTGGGCCTCTAGTTCCTCTCTTTTCCCTGCTGTGGGCTTCCTGAAACATCTTCCCTCCAGCCCAAGTGAATGTCCCAGTACATTTTCCTCAAGTGCATCCCCACCCTCATCTCCTCACTCCCTCCCCCGTGGTCACAGGAGTGGTCAATGTGGAGACATGTGGCTTCTCCCCCTCGCACTTCGAGAAAAGGTGGGGTCAGGCCCCGCTGGCGTGGGTGGTGTGGTAGGGGCGTTAGGGTCAGGCCCCGCTGACGTGGTAGGGGCGTTAGGGAGAGGTAGAACCCTCCAATATTTCAGCATGGGATGGGGTGTGGACAGGTACAAGTCGTTGAACCAAGCTCCTCCAGTGGTCTGTTCAAGAAATGAAATTGGTTCTTTCCAACAGCCAGTCTCACACCAGGACTGTGACTGTGACTGTGACTGTGACTGTGACTGTGCCCGGACCTGGCCTGGGTGCTGAGAACACATAAGTGACCCAAAGGTAGGGAGTGCTTGGTCCAAGCAGCTTCCCTGAAGTCACATCCCTGCCAGGCCAACCTGGAGGACGACTGCCCAGGCTGGGGCTGGAGTCCGGAGATAAGATTCACATCCTGGTTCTGCTCCTCAGGGGCTGGGGCAAGAGGCTGTGGGGCCTTAAGCCTGGCTTTCCTCAGGTGTAAATGAAGGATAGTGGTAGCCCTCCCCCACAGGGCCACTGTCACATGAAGGCTGCCTGCCACACTGTCACGTCAGCTAGGGTTTATGAATGGATGAATGAATGAATGAAGGCAGAGGTTGAAGAGATGTTCTTTCAGCTGAATTCCTCCAGGGTCTGAAAAGTCAGCACCTCAGTCCTCCCACCCACACAGCCCAGCCTGGAGGTGGGCCTGCTGCCCAGCACTCCCTCCCCAGCCCTCATCCCAAAAAGCTCCTACACACCCCACCAGGAGATAGAGTCACACCCTAGACAGGCTCGTGGCCACACCCCTTTCTAGGGTGCACGATTGGTGGTTGATTGAGGAAGAGGTGCTGAAAACAAGTCCACCCCTGGAAAAATCCCCCCACCCCACAGCTCCAGCCCCCCTCCAGAAAAGGTGGAGAATCACTTTGAAGCTGAAGGCAGAGCCAGTTCGACTGGCACCCCTGCCCTAAAGTGAGCTGCAATATATCCAAGCCCGGCTCTCGGAAAGTGCGGACAAGACTGTGTAGGTGAGCTAGGAGTTTTTGCAAGGGTGCTTGCAGACCGAGAAGCTTAGAGGAGAAGGGGAGAAGGACGGAGCGGAGCAGAGCGGAGAGGGGAGGTGGATGGTGAGAACGCCGCTCGCCCCGGGTCGAAGGGGAGCTGAGGGCTGGCAGCCAACGCTTGGAGGAGAGGGGCTCCGGGGGGCGGGAAACGGCTGGGGACCCGCTCAGGCCAGCGCGCCAGCCCCTCCCCACCCACCGCCGCCGCAGCGGGGCTGCTCCAGGGGAGCGGAGCCGAGTGCGAGCGGGTCTGCGCGTCTCTGCCCTGCGCATAGGGGCGGGGGGCCCAGAGCCAGGCGCTCTCTCCCAACCACCTGCTGATCTAGGATCTCCAAGCGGCTCGTCCCAGGACCCCGCCCGGAAACCCGGCCACGTGGGAGAGGGCGACCCCACCTCTAACCCCCGCGCTGTGCGCCAGCGCAGCCCTTCAAAGTCAGCAGACGGCGGAGGGGGTGACCTGGCCTCTCTCCTGGCTGCCCTGCGCTCCCAGGTTCCTTCCTTTCTGCTGACCCAGGGTGCTCAGAGGTCAGCTGGGTCGGACCCACAGAATGTCCACGTACCGGCTCAGGCAAGTGAAGGAGTTGGGGGAGACTGGCGGGAGGGGGCTGGGAAGGGACGCTTACTGGAAAGGGGGAGAGACCCCATCCAGCCTGAGCTCCAGGGGACAGGAGTAGTGCCCAGACAAGCAGTCGGTCGAGAACCTGTAGCTCGAGAACCTGTAGCACTGAGAGGACAGGGGTGAGAAAGACAGAGAGGGACTCAGAAGAAGGGGAGACAGGAGAAAGTGAGGCACTCCGCATCCTCCCCAAGGCCCAAAGTGAGGAGGGGATCTGAGAGAAGAGAGCACCGAACAACTTCATATCCAAGAGACAAGGGAAACCAGGAGGGCAGAAAACAGGCCCCTCTGACCAATGCCTCTGCTACCATGTATTTAATCAATATTCGCTGGGCACCTGGGGAGAAGCAGGCACCCACATTGGGGATATTGCAACAAACAAGGTGGACATGATCTTGGCCCTCAGGGAAGATGGCTGGGGCCTGCAGACCTGGACACAGGAGTCATGGCACCATGACTCCTGAGAATCTGCTTTCACCAAGGCCACCAGCTGACTCCTTTTTGCTGAATTCCATGAGCACCGTTCAACCCTTAGCTAACTTGACCTCTCCAGAGCTTGGGACCTACTGAAGCCTCCCTCCTGGAAACATACTCTTTCCCTGGGATACAGTTCCCTCAATTTCACCTTCATCCACAGAGCCCACAGCCCCAGCCAGAAAATCTGAGCATCAGGAGTTTAGGAGCCCTGATTTGCAGAGTTGCAGAAATCTGAAGGAAGGAAGGAAGCAGCATCCCAGCTGCACTCTGAAGGTAGAGCTGGGTCAGCCAGGGGAAGAGAAAGTAGGCTTATGGCTCAGGCCCAGAGAGCAGCACACTCACACACCTGGTGAGGTCAGCCGCGCAAGAGCAAAATCAAGGCAGGGGTGGGCAGGGCTGGGCAGCGGCCATTAGGACCCCAGGAGGAGAGATGGGGCAGTGGTGAGACTAGAGAGGAAGGGATGGATTCCGAGACACCTATAGGGGAGAGTCTGCAGGGCTCGATGATAGATGGCAAATGTGTGGAGGGAAGCCTGGGGAGAGAGGAGCTCAGGATGAAGCCCAGATTTTCTGTCTGGGGCTCTGTGGGCGAAGGTGAAATTGAGGGAACTGTATCCCAGGGGAAGAGTATGTTTCCAGGAGGGAGGCTTCAGTAGGTCCCAGGCTCTGGAGAGGTCAAGTTAGCTAAGGGTTGAACAGTGTTCATGGAATTCAGCAAAAAGGTCTTGGCAGAAACCAGACTGGAGTTGATTGGCTCTTAACAAGGAGGTGAAATATATACTGGAGACAGTGCTTTCAAGAAAGGGACAGTTAGCTGGAGGCAGATGGGGCTGAAGGAGGGCTTTTTTGTTTGTTTGTTTGTGTTTTTTGTTTTTTTTTTATTTTTGCTGTCCATAAGTTTATTGTTTTTATCAGAAAAATCCTGATAGAAAATTGTTTGGTTTAGCTCTCAGCAGCCCGCTCCTGAGCTCTGAGGAAGCTTGCCTTCTTTTGAGCTACCTGATCTTTCTTTTGAGCAAGGGAAATTTTGGGGCAGTTCCACCTCTTCTTCTTAACTTCTTTCTTGGGCTTCTTTTCAGAGTGGATTCTCTCGTATAGCAGCATGAGCTTTCTTATACATCTCCTCCATGTCTGGAGTTATGCTGGTCTTTATGTATTGAGAGAACTGTTTCTTGTAAGCATCTTCATCTTCTTCCATTAAGTAGCGCATGTAATCTGCAACATTCTGGCCCATGATGTGCTTCCGGTGTACTTCTGCATTAAATCCTTGCTTTCAGAATCATAACCAGGGAATCGCTTGGTACTATGAGGGACAGACAAGCCTCCATCCACAGCAAAACTTTATTGCCAGTGGTAG